AGCTACTAGGTCCACTTTCCCTGCTCCATGAGCCTTATCATACCTCTTCTTAAATTTATGTATAGTTCTTGCCTCCGCTACATCACTTTCCAGACTATTTCACTTCCTGACATCTCTATGACTAAAGAAATAATTCTTAATATCTCTGTGACTCATCTGATTCTTCAACTTCTAATTGTGACTCCTTGTTTCTGTGTCCCATCTCTGGAACATCCTGTCTCTGTCCACCTTGTCACTTCCTCTCACAGTTTTATATGTCGTTTTCATGTCCCCCCCTAGCCCTTCTGTCCTCCAGTGTCGTCAGGTCGATTTCCCATAACCTCTCCTCGTAGAACATGCCGCTTAGCTCTGGGACTAGTCTTGTTGTGAACCTTTGCTCTTTCTCTAATTTCTTGATGTGCTTGGCTAGATGTGGGTTCCAAACTGGTGCTGCATACTCCAATGTAGACCTAACGTACACAGTGTACAGGGCCCTGAACGATTCCTTTTTGAGATATCGGAATGCTGTTCTTAGGTTTGTTAGGTGCCCGTATACTGCAGCAGTTACTTGGTTGATGTGTGCCTCAGGAGATGTACCTGGTGTTATACTCATCCCAAGATCCTTTTCCTTGAGTGAGGTTCATAGTCTCTTTCCCCCTAGACAGTACTCCATCTTCGGTCTTCTTTGCCCTTCCCCAATCTTCATGACTTTGCACTTGGTGGTGATAAATTCCAGGACCCAGTTTCTGGACCAGGCCTGCAGCCGGTCCAGATCCCTTTGTAGTTCTGCCTTGTCCTCGTCCGATTGAATTCTTCTCATCAACTTCACATCATCTGCAGACAGGGACACTTCAGAGTCTATTCCTTCTGTTATGTCGTTTACATATACCAGAAACAGCACCGGTCCTAGGACTGACCTCTGTGGAACCCAGCTCGTCACAGGCGCCCACTCTGATACCTCGTCACATACCATGACTCGCTGTTGTCTTCCCGACAGGTATTCCATGATCCATTGCAGTGCCTTCCCTGTTAAACCTGCCTGGTCCTCCAGCTTTTGCTCTAATCTCTTGTGTGGAACTGTGTCAAAAGCCTTCTTACAGTTCAAGAAAATGCAATCTACCCACTCCTCTTTCTCTCTCTCTTCTCTTACTGCTGTCACCCTGTCATAGAACTCCAGTAGATTTGTGACACAGGATTTCCCGTCCCTGAAACCGTGCTGGTTGTCGTTGGTATGCTCATTCGTTTCTAGGTGTTCTCCTATCCATGACTTTGCATACTATACATGTCAGTGACACTGGTCTGTAGTTTAGTGCTTCGTGATTGTCTCCTTTTTTAAGAATTGGGACATTTGCTGTCTTCCACACCTCAGGTAGTCGCCCTGTCTCGATAGATGTGTTGAAGATTGTTGTTAGTGGTACACATAGTGCATCTGCTTACTCTCTCAGGACCCATGGAGAGATGTTATCTGGCCCCATCGCCTTTGAGGTATCTAGCTCGCTTAGCAGCCTCTTCACTTCTTCCTCGGTTGTACGTATTGTGTCCAACACTTGATGGTGTACCCCACCTCTCCGTCTTCCTGGAGTCCCTTTTGTCTCCTCTGTGAACACTTCTTTGAATCTCATATTGAACTCCTCATGTATTTCACTGTTGTTTCTTGTGAACTCCCCTCCTTTCTTTCCCAGCCTAATTACCTGCTCCTTGACTGTTGTTTTCCTCCTGATATGGCTGTACAACAGCTTCGGGTTAATGACATATACTATGTCATTTTCGCATTGTCGTTGGGCCTCATTATACCGTCTCATTATACTTGTGATTGTGATGAATTTTTTAGCTATACTAATAATTCACAACAACTAAAATTATATGCCAAGTCTAGATTTAAGTTGTATGTAAATTCTAGTATTAGTCTTCTTCTTGCTGATTCGCCAGTATTCTCCCGGCCCGGGCCTTTTCCAAGTGGCAGCCCGGCCTTGGCTCCCTGTCAAGGGAGTGTCTGAGACCTAAGTCTGCCATGGGAGGAGGTACAAGTACCCCCTCATCGTTGGGACAAACTGTCCCCAGGCCTAGCCACATTCCCCACCTCACGGGGCTCGGAGAGACAAGCTAGGCCTCTCTGGTCTGCCATCCCCACCCCAAAGGGGCTAATGGGAATGACAGTCTTGTGAGCTACAAGTGTGGAAAATACTGTATATATTTTCCAGAAATTCAGTATTTGTATGTAAATAGATGCCCTATATTGTATTTTTAAAAGAAGTATGTTATAGAAAAAAGTAGAGACTCGCCATCTTGGTTTTTGAATTTGTATTAGAAACGTTGGTGAATGGGGAAGAATTTTTCGTGCTCTAGAGGTTAAAATTGTGCTGATACCTCTCAAATAGGAGGTGAAATTGTTGGATGTGCATTCCTGCATAACTTGAGATATCAGGCGACTGGACAAGACCTCTCCAGGAACCTCAGATATGCTCTCTAGATTTGTGTATAATTCTGGCCAGTGTTTTCATAAATTTAGTTAGTGAGGTTTTTCTGAGTATGATACAACTTAATATCCAGTCAAATTGGTGAGTGATATTAAGATATATTTTCCTTCTGTTATGTAATTGTGTATATATATAACCATTTATTATTTTTAATATACAGTCCACAAATTTATATATTTACCAGAATTCCTGGTGATGTATTATTCATTTAATTAATAGGTCCAGAGCAACTTGTGGACATGACAGTGGTAGGTATCGAAGGGGGACATTTTTGCGACCTAGGTGTCCCAAATTCCTACTTCTCTAACTGATAAATAATAATTATCTATGTTCATTTATTGTTATGTACATAATTATACATACAGATAAATGCAATTTTCCACAACAAGCTCGGGCACAGGCACCTACCCTACCCTAGAAGGGCTGGGCATGGTGTCACCTACCCTGCCCTAGAAGGGCTGGGCATGGTGTCGATGTAGTATTAGTCTGCCTGGAATTCATTACACGTTAAGTATCCTTCTTCTAAGTCTTCACCTGTATCAAACTATATTTATATTATTATTATTATTATGACAAAATAAAAATAATGGAATCAGCTGGAAAGAAAATTTATTACTGTTTTTTTTTTTTTTTGTACGGCTTATTAATAAAATTTATTGTTTTTATTTATTTTATTTATTACTTGACCTAACTGGTGGCACTTGTGTTCATAATTTAGGTCAGAGTACTCTTGTTCCTTTCCAAAATATTCCCCAAATTAAAGCAATATTCCCTCTGGGGTACCAGGAGATAGAGCACAATACTGCATCTGCTGTTGTCACCCTTGAAACTATAAATAAATTTTATTTTCAATAACTACACAATCTTGACAATATTAAGTGCATTTATTGTATTTCGAAAAGTTGCTGTAGTGTAGTGTAAAGTCAGTTCCTGATCAGCCGGGCTGTGGCTCGTACGTTGGTTTGCGTGCAGCCAGCAGCAACAGCCTGGTTGATCAGGCTCTAATGCACCAGGAGGCCTGGTCACAGACCGGGCCGCGGGGGCGTTGACCCCCGGAACTCTCTCTAGGTAAACTCCAGGTCTCCAGGTAAACTCCAGTGAGGAGGGTGACTCTCACCACTGAGGTCCAGGGTTCGAACCCCCAGACTGAAACGAAAAACATATTGTCTTGTACATATACATAAACACACTAGCCTAGATATACTGAGCATTTTTAGGATGACAAAAACAAGTTAATTCTACCTGACATTATATAGGAGAGGTGAAAAACACTCAGTAGTTAAAACTTTATTACGGCATTTGTCCGGGACAAGACTTTAAGGACCCCAATGGAAATAAGTCACTGTGTCTGACTTTTTTGGGTTATCCCAGGTTCTCTACACATATGTGTCACATATGTGACCTGACCTGACTAGGTTGGGTGCATTGGCTTAAGCCGGTAGGAGACTTGGACCTGCCTCGCATGGGCCAGTAGGCCTTCTGCAGTGTTCCTTCGTTCTTATGTTCTTATGTATGATAATTCTATGTAACTATATTTGTGTATACCTGAATAAACTTACTTACTTACTAAACATCCTTATACAGCAAACAGCACTCTGAGGTCATACTCGGGAGAGGTCATAAGTAAGGTCATAAAGCGATAGATAACTCGAACAGTGCACATAGTCGTTGATGTATTAACCGCTACAGTAAAGTTATCCAGGCCTGGTGTATCAGCCACTGGGCCAGCTGACCCAGGAGGTTACCATGGGCCACACTCTGACCACAAATGTTAACCTCCCTATGGTGTATAAACATACCTAGTTGGATGACTCATATTGTAGCCAGGTGGTCCAGTGGTTGACACACCGGCCAAGTGTCACGACCCACTCGCCATGGGGTCTATCCCCACCCGTAACCTGGTTTGTTTGCAGTCTTAGTATATGAGTAATAATAACTTGTATTGTGGGTGATAATAACAAAGAAGACATAACTTCAACTGACAGTCGTGAATTAACCATGGCAGATATATTTTAACATAGCAGACATGACTTAATCTAGCAGTCATATTTTAACCTGTTAGACATGACTTAATCTGGCGTACATATTTTAACCTGGCAGACAGTGTAGTAGATTTCACAATGACACCAGATCATAAAACATAAGAATGGAAATTTTGCCAAAAGAATGAAATAACTGACAACTCTGTCATTCCACCGTTATGGAGATGGTGAAGAAAATACTTGTTTCTTCATGAAGACATTCCTTCACGCAACAAGCTGACGCGGGGGAAAGCACAGTTGAGTTTGTTTGTCTAATATCATTCGAAATGTTAATTTTGATTTGCATAGGAAGAATGTTTTATGTAGTGTTCCAGTTATCGAGGTTATGAGGAAGGTTGGAGGTAGGGTGTGGTGGCTGTCGAGGGTGGGAGGGCAGGGTGGGTGTGGTGGCTGTCGAGGGTGGGAGGGATTCACAAGGAGGAAGGGAGGGAAGGGTGGGTGTGTTAGGGAGGGTGTGAGAGGGCGTCAGCATTAGTTGGTTGGTCACTTGGAGAAAGTTAGTGATGGGCAGCAGGTTGTGCGGGTGGACAGTGGTGGGACTGCTGCCTGGTGTCTGGTGTCTGCTGCAGGCGTCATATACTCGCCCTTGTATTGTCTCCTAGCGAGCCGACGGAACCAGTGTTTTAGAAGGTTGAACGAAGAAATAAGTTTATATATTCGAAGCTCCTTCCAGTGACCTGAAACACTGTTCCTGATACACTATACAACTAATTCCCTGAATACAGCTGAGACAACTATGAAGTTATTTGAGTGTAAACACACACGCTTCATCGCCTTCTTCAGCTTCGTCTGCGCCTACTTCTATTACCAGTCTGCCATCTACCAGTCCAAGAAGGTTCCTGTCTTCTCTCCTTCGGGCAACGTTATGGTCCTGGAGAGAGAGGGAGTCTCTCCGAACCATCCAGAGAGCCACGCTGGTGTACCGCAAGTAGCGGATGCACACGAAACTCTTACCACGAATGTAAGAATACTTAGAAACACAAGCGGTAATGCTACCTATGACCAGCAACAAAAGCTTCAACTATTTACAATAGGAAGAGCTGCAGAAAGGATAGTGGATAAGGAGGGTAGGTCTAATAATGTTAGTGTTAAGATGGACGAGGAGGCTATGACCAGTAGTGCCAGTGTCAAGGTGGATGGAGAGGCCAGGACCAGTAGTGTCAGTGTCAAGGTGGATGAGGAGGCCAGAACCAGTAGTGCCAGTGTCAAGGTGGATGAAGAAGCCAGGATAAGTAGTGCTAGTGTCAAGGTGAATGAGGAGCCCAGAACCAGTAGTGCCAGTGTCATGGTGAAGAAGCCTCGTTGGGAGTTCCCAGTGCTGCAACCATCGGGCGGCACCTTCCTGAAGCACCTCAACTTGTCTACCTACGACAGAAAGGTAAGAGTGTATACACATAAGCACATAAGTGCGGAAAGGAAGCTTTTTAACAGTTTAATTCTCTAGCACCATTGTTGCCTTCTGGATCATAGATAAGGGGTCAGTCTAACTTATTACTGATTACATTTAGTGTATACATTTCATAATTATATTCAAGTATTAATTGTCCTGTAGTGTTACGGTTCCATTTCCGCTAGGAGATTATTAGTAATCTCGCCCCCATGAACCGTGTATGTCACTGGTGGCCACTGAAATGCTAGGAACAAGGAGTGATAACCACTTTTTTGTATGCATGTATGATGATAGACTAAAGAAATCTTGAAGTGTGAATGAGTGGACGTACCACAGACAAAAAGAGTATTATTATTGTTATTAATGAAAAGAGGTTGGATGTCCTAACAGAGAGTGAAACAAAGTTAAGAGATGGGAGAGTGAATAGGTGAGAAAGAGTGCAAGTTCCTTTGTATAATATAAATGGTGAAAAATAAAAGAGTAAGAATCACAGGGGAGCAATTCTGAGCAGAAATGTACAACACTTGGGTATTTTTATTTCTAAACATTTCGAATATAGAGAAGACAAAGATGATGTGATCAATCATCATGCTCGAAGAAGTAAGTAAATTTACTTACATGATTCATTACCTTTGTAACTTGTGAGTTATTACCTTTGTACCTTGTTCAGCTATCAGAACTTTATAGCACAGTCCCTGGACCCATTATGTACCTCTGTAATCTGTAAACACCTTTGTAACTTGTCATGATTGTGACTAGATCTACCTGGAGTTCATTACCTTTATAACTTGCTCACCAATCAAAACTTTGGGACCCAGTCCCTGGGCCCATTATGTACCTCTGTAATCTTGTGACTACCACCTACAGGATGGGTATGGGGTACATAATGAGGATGTTAAACTAACTCGAAGAAATAATTGATGGGTTGACCACAACATCTTTCCCCTCTCCACTGCTGTTTTTCCATATTCGCCACTTCTGTATTCGACTGAGGAAGCCTACTGTGTAGGCGAAACGTTTCGTAATAAAGAAACCTAACTGTTGCTCATGTTACTGTTACTGAATGAAACCACGAGTCATTTTTATAATTAAGAACAGTGTCAGGAGACACTTCTCACTATACAGTTATTATATTGATACTGGGTAAAGCGTATTGTAGAATAATTTATGTCGAAAGAGAAGAATTATAGAGGAAAGAGGAGCATTCATTAGTGTGAAGGAAAAGGTTAATATGTAGTATCTAGTGTTTGTATTAAAAAATATAAGTGAATACTTTGATAAGCGTAAGGAAATTTTGTTGAGTGCAGAGATTTGGATTTGCCACCAGACCTGGTGGAAAACCTCTCGCTTAACACGCTGAATGTCCGGGTTCGATTTCCAGCAAAGGCAGAAACGTTGGGTGTGTTTACTTATACCGGTTGTCCATGTTCACCCATCCATAAAAATGGGTACCTGGGTGTTAGTTCACTGGCGTGGGTCGCATTCTGAGAGAAATTTGAATTAATTTGCGGGAAATGTTTAGCATAACAAGTGGCTTTCTGTATACTAGTATTATCTCACTGTTGTCAGTTATGGTTGGTATACCTTGTACATGTACTGGTAGAAAATAAAGATACTATTATTATTTTATTATTATTATTATTATTATTATTATTATTATTATGTGATAAGAATAATAGAATACAAGTGACAGTGGTGGCACGTTGGGAAGCTATAGTGGTGGCGCATGGGGAAGCTCAAGTGGCGGCGCCTGGGGAAGCTATAGTGGTGGCACCTGGGGAAGCTATAGTGGTGGCGCCTGGGTAAAGCTATAGTGGCAGCACCTGGGGAAGCTATAATGGTGGCACCTGGCGTAAGCTATAGTGGTGGCACCTGGGGAAACTATAGTGTTGGCGCCTGGGGAAGTTAAAGTGGCAGCACCTAGGGAAGCTATAGTGGTGGAGCCTAAGGAAGATATAGTGGCGGTGGCTGGGGAAGCTATAGTGGTGGCGCCTGGGGAAGCTATAGTGGTGGCACCTGGGGAAGCTAGTGGTGGCACTAGGGAAGCTATAGTGGTGGCGCCTGGGGAAGCTAAAGTGGCAGCACCTGGGGAAGCTATAGTGGTGGTGCCTCGGGAAGCTATAGTGGTGGAACCTAGGGAAGCTATAGTGGCGGCACCTAAGAAAGCTATACTGGCGGCACCTGGGAAGCTATAGTGGCGGTGCCTGAGGAAGCTACAGTGGTGGCGCTTGAGGAAGCTATAGTGGTGGCGCCAGGGAAAGCTATAGTGGCAGTGCCTGGGGAAGATATAGTGGTGGCACCTAGAGAAGCTATAGTTGGCGGCCTTTGGGGAAGCTATAGAGGCGGTGCCTAGGGAATATGAAACATGATTATTGGTAAGCTGAAAGCAGAGCGGGTGAATGATAAACGTCTTCAGAGGCTTCTTTATTTGTCAATGTCGTGGTGGGTACACAGGCTTGTGTGTTGTACCCCATGGCCCAGTAGGGGCTATGCCCACAAGGGAGAGAGCGAGAGTAAGGACCTGTGTCTTTCTGCTAGGCTGCTGAGTGAGTGCGAGAGTGTGGGACCAACATCCCACAGACCTGGCCAGGCCCAGAGGACAGCACCTTAGTGGCACGAAATATGAACTAAGCTGGCAGACAGCATAGGCTGTCTTGCATGACAGTATAGCGTGTGTACATACACTTGGTGACCCCATGCCCACGTCATCCCGACGGTGACATACTGGGTGAAGAAACTCAGTTCTCTTTCGTAGGACAGGGAGCAGAGTACACAAAATAAAAAACATATATAAAATATACCTGGAGTTTACTGGAGAGAGTTCTGGGGTCAACGCCCCGCGGCCCGGTCTGAGCATCCCGACGGCTCCTGGTGGTCAGAGCTGATAACCGGCTGTTTGCTGCTGGCTGCACGCAAACCAAACATACGAGCAATCACGTGATCGAATGGAAGGAAGGAAGGAAGGGAGGAAGAAAAACAAATGTGGGGTGTGCTAAACATCGTGGTCAAAGGCAGTGAGCATCGAAGGGCATCACTGCACGCCTTCCTGCGTCTGGAGGGATGCTGCAACACAGGAGACATTGCTGAGGCTGAGCTGTGATGTAACAGAGTACAGTCTCCTCTAGAATGGTGAAGCAGACATCGTAGAGTCACTGCAGGTTTTCACTCAACCTGGGGCACAACCTGCTGGTGCCCTCGAGTGAGGTGTCATCAAAACTCGGCAACTGGGCAGGACTTCTGGCAAGCGACTCAGGAGGACACTTCTCGACTGGTACTGTCACTGGGCTGTCACTGGCGGCGAGCATGGAGTGAGTCATGGAGCGAGTCGTGGCAGAGACAACTGGGCGAAACATCTGGGAGTCGTAACATCATACACCAGACTGCAGTGGGCGAGCTAGCAGTCAAAGTGACATCATCTTCGTGCAGACTGCTCACTGAAGCTTGTAACACAAGACTGACACAGCGCCTGCCGACAGGTATAACTGTGGCTTGATGAGTGTCACTCTCTCGGCAGTTGGAGTTATAGCAGAGGTTAGTCTAAGCATCCCCAGACTTGTTTCTCTCTATATAACTGCACTCTGAAGGTCTGGAGGTGAAGTGAAGCAAATCTTGATGGGAATCGTAGCAGGTACGATTCTGCAGAACATCACGAACGATGAGCATAAGAGCTTTCTATACAAAGGGCTCGGTCGCTCTGGGCTGAGTAATATCAGCTGTCAAATGCACTGGTCACACGGGTGACTTAACACAGTGGTGCTACTCAGGTCTAGCTGCAGACCACACTGGACACACAGAAAACTGCACACACATGCATGTTGTACATGCAGTACAACATGGCTTAAACTAGCAAAAGATGCTTTTCTGTGCACAAAACTGACACTAAGCCATACACTAACATGTGAGAACACTGAGAGGAATTAATTAACATACGACATATATCTTCTCTCAGTCTTCTCGACAATACTGAAATATTTACTGAAACACTCGATGTGACATCATGTAATGTCAGGTGTGACATTGCGAGGTGACGTCAGCAGACATCTCGAGGTGGCAGACATCGTGATGTCTTGAAGTCAGGCAGCAGCATCGGTGACGTCAGTGAGATGCGGGCAGTAGACCTACAGCATGAGGCCTGGGACATATGGCTTGGTAACCCACGTGGCTTGTAGATCCACATGACATCGCCCACACTCCATGTGGCGTCGGAATCCATGTGGTGTCATGATCTACATGGCATGCTGATCCATGTGGCTTGCTGATCCACATGGCTTGCTGATCTGTGTGGCTTGCTGATCCACGTGGCTTCGAGTGGCCTCGGGAACTCGGATACACAGCTCTGGCAATAAATTCACACAAAAAAAACAGCAGAAAACACAGCAGAGGGAGTTGGCAGTGGTGAGTGGTGTATGGTAGCCTGGTGAGGTGTGAGAGTACAGCAGGGCAAGCATGGGCGAGGCAAGGAACGGCCACTTCCTCATCTCCCACAAACACCGCGACACGCACACTGGACACAGACATCACCACAAAACTCACCTCTGGCTTGCTGAAATAGCTGTGCTGAGCTGAACAACAGCAGAACATACAAGTGACACTGAACACATGACTTAAGAAACAGCATAGGATGCTGTAGCATAGGGTCACTGGGACGCCACTCATATTTCTCGAAGAAATTCGGCAAATTTTGGCTAGATCCTGCTTGTACCTGTGTCTGGATGCTGAAACGTGCAGACACAACATCAAGATAACTCGTTGAGAGACGGATGCTTCTTCTATAGGGTGATGAAGTGAACAACTTCATTCCTTCCTTCCTCTCTCTGGGCGAACGCAACTGCTGCAACCACTGCTGCTACCAACGTGAAACATGACTTTGTTGATAATGCGACAGAGCAAGGTTCAATAATATGTCTTCGGAGGCTTCTTACTTTATTAGTCAATGTCGTGGTGGGTACACAGGCTTGTGTGTTGTGCCCCATGGCCCGGTAAGGGCC